GGGCCGCCGGACACGGGAGGACTGTGGAGAAGCGAGACACGACAGGACCCCAAGAGGGGTCAGCCAGGGACACCGCAACCGGCCGACTAAGCGGCGTGAGTGTGGTGCGGTCCCGAAAGAAGGAGCGAGGCGCCCCAGAGTCAAGGGTGAAGGTGTGGGAGGCCGAAGCCGACGCAGTACCTGAGAGCGCAGACTCACTAGTACCTGAGAGTGCAGACTCACCAGTACCTGAGAGCACAGACGCACTGGCACCTAGAGCAGTAGCCTCACTAGCACCTAGAGCAGTAGTACCAATGCCCGGGTCGGGCGGGAAACACCGGTAACAGTCACCCTCATCACTAAAAGTCACAGCATACATGGCAGCAAGGATAGCATCAAAGTCAAGATCAAAGATAGCTACACCAGCCCTAGACAGCTCTCCCCAGCGGGGGATCTCCGCGGCCTCCGGGAACTGCTGGCGCCAAGCGTCCGTCAGGCGGCCAAAGCAGCGCTGGGCGGTGTGGGTACCCCCACACTGCTCTCCAGCGCGGTCGCCAGTGCGAAGGACGTAGGTGCAGGGACCAAAACCCCCACCACGCTGACGCTGCGTGTACCACTCACGGAGCTGCTGAGGGGTGGGGACGTCGCGAGAACGCTGCTGCTGTTGCTGCTGCTGGCGCTGACCGCCCCCAGTGCTGCTCCGCTGCGAAGCGCCACTCCGACCGCCGCCACCACCGCCACCCCCGCCTCCGCCTCCACCGCCGCCACCTCCGCCACCTCCGCTCCCACCGCCACCGCCGCCACCACCTCCGCCTCCACTGCCGCCACTAGTACCCCCACCCCCACCACCACCTCCACCGCCACCCCCACTCCCCCCGCCGCCCCCACCTCCACCGCCACTGCCCCCGCTAGCTCCACCCGCGCCCTTGCCCCCTTTGCCCTTGCCAGGGCGGCGTCTCCCGCTTGGGGCAGACGCCAGCACCGACCGACTCAAGTCCAACGAGGTCGGCCGCAGCGGCAGAGGCGACAGAGGGTAGCAGGGGGGAAGGAGAACACCCCTCAAAGATGGGGGTGCGGGGGTCACCACGAGAGGCCCCTACAACGACTATACTCTTCTTGGCCGCTAGTAGGGACTTCTCGAGGAGGTCTACAGTGAGATTGGTGGGACAGACTGAGAGAAAGTGGTCCCTAACTACACAAAGGGAGTCAGGGAGACGAGTGACTATAAAGTAGAGAGTGATGTACATGGGGGGGGGGGTTCTTGGCGCAGAAGTCAGTGGGAAGCGCAGCGCGGTAGCGGGTGTCACTAGTGCGGAGGTGCGTAATGAGGTCAGCGACTGTGGGAAAGGCAGCAAGGTCAGGGAAGAGGTACGGTAGCATGAGACGGCTCAGTGCAGCAGTGGCAGGGGAGGAGTAGCGCGCAACTACAGCGTCGTACAAGGTCTGTGCACTCTTGTACTGACTAAAGTGTGCACGCTCAGAGGTGGGGAGGTGGCGACGCACAGCAAGACGTGCAGCGGCATCGCGTGTGGCCCACTTGGAGCGAACAGTGGGGTCAGCATCAGCAGCAGGGGCAGGGACGGCGCCAGAGGTAAGGTCAAAGAGAGAAATGTCATCTACCCTATCGCACTGCAAGTACAGCTGCAGGTCGTCGACCCAGACCTCAAAGTCAATGGCACGACCCTCAGCGTCAAAAGCTAGGACACTAGGGGTAGCCATGACGACAGACGCCTAGCAGTGCAAGTAGTAGGGTGAGGGCAGTGCAGCGAAAAGGGCTCTGTGCTCACCGGACAGGGCAGAAAAGGAAGTAAGGCAGCTTGGTGGCCGGCGGCTCGACTGCTGGGCGGCTCGGCTGCTGGGCGGCTCGGCGGCTCGGTGGCTGGGCGGCTCGGCGGCTCGGCGGCTCTGCTGCTGGGCGGCTCGTCTGCTGGGCGGCTCGGCTGCTGGGCGGCACGGCGGCTCGGCTGCTGGGCGGCTCGGCGGCTCGGCGGCTCGGCGGCTCGGCTGCTCTGCTGCTGGGCGGCTCGGCGGCGCAGTGGGTCGGTCACTGGGCGACCCGGCGGTCAGGCGGCTCGGCGACCCTGGTTCAGGGCGGCGTGGCGGCCGTGGGTAGGACGGCGGGTGGGCCGCAGCGTAGGGCGGCCGTCGGGCCGCAATGTAGGGCGGCGGGCGGGCCGCAACGTAGGGCGGCGGGCGGGCCGCAACGTAGGGCGGCGGGTGGGCCGCAGGTAGGGCGGCGGGCAGGCCGCGACGTAGGGCGGCGGGTGGGCCGCGACGCAGGGCGGCGGGTAGGCCGCAGGTAGGGCGGCGGGCAGGCCGCGAGTGGGGCGGCGGGTAGGCCGCAGGTAGGGCGGCGGGCAGGCCGCGACGTAGGGCGGTGGGTGGGCCGCGACGCAGGGCGGCGGGTAGGCCGCAGGTAGGGCGGTGGGCAGGCCGTGACGTAGGGCGGCGGGTAGGCCGCGATGTAGGGCGGCGGGCAGGCCGCGACGTAGGACGGCGGGCAGGCCGCGACGTAGGGCGGCGGGCAGGCCGCGAGTGGGGCGGCGGGCAGGCCGCGACGTAGGGCGGCGGGCAGGCCGCGAGTGGGGCGGCGGGCAGGCCGCGACGCAGGGCGGCGGGCGGGCCGTCGACGTGGGGTGGCGGGGCCGCGACTTAAGGCGGCAGGGCCACGACGTAGGGCGGCGGGCAGGCCGCACCGTAGGGCGGCGGGCGGGCCGCGACGTAGGGTGGCGGGCGGGCCGCGTCGTAGGGCGGCGGGGCCGTCAGCTAGGGCGGCTCGGCGCGTCGTTAGGAGGCGACCCGACGGGTCGCTAAAAAAAAAGGAAGAAGAAGGGAGAGCGCGACTCGAGGCGCGCTTCGGTGGGCCCTAGGAACAGTCCCTAGGAGGGGACCTGCTCTGATTCCATGTGAAAATGAGAACGAGAATGATGAGACTATGAACGAAGTGAGTACAAATAGGAAACCCTAATTGGGTTGTACCCCCTATGGGATACCCCACTATAGCCTACACAAATAAGTACGCTATAATGTTCTGACACGTTTTACCCGAACTACGGACAAGACCCAATAGTACACATGACCCCGCATCCCGACAACCCAGTGCCACGAGCACAAGAGTTTGCCGAAATTTTACAAGCACCACGGATCCGGGCAGCAGACGCAATAAAAAAATCGAAAATCATCGCTAAGCGCAACGCCGATCGCCACCGACGGCCTGTCACTCACCAGCTCGACGACTTAGTTTTACTTGACACCCAGAACCTCCGCCTACCCATCACCCCAAAACTTCGCCCCCGATACTGTGGACCATTCCGCATCAGCCACATTATTACACCCGTCACCGCCCACCTCCTCCTCTCCGATGACTGGTACGTCAGCCCATCCTTCCACGTCAGCCTACTTCGCCCCTACATACCGTCCGCTAGCCAAGTGCCACGTAATCACTCAGCCAGCATAACACGACTGCCGACCGAACCAATGATCACACCCGAAAAAATCCTGAGCCACCGAGTTCGTGACCCACGAGGAGCTCGAAGAACCGAGTTCCTGATCCGCTGGAAAGACCGTACGCCCACTGAAGACAACTGGGTTCCCCTGGACAAAGTCGAAAACCACCCCGTTCTCACAGAGTATCTGCGCAGCCGAAATTTCAGAGATTTACACGTGCTTTCGTAAGGAGGACCTCCTTAGAGAGGGGGGGGGGGGGGGGGGGGGGAGGTAGTGTAAGGAAAAATCTTTTTCCTTACTTTGCATCCCTGCTCAACGCGTACACCATTCTAGCACCACAGTCAGCACCGTTAACACTTACAACCTTCGCATCGACAAATCCTCCCGCCACCTTCGCACGTCGCACCCCGACCTCACGGCTCAGCCGGTAACCCGCGCTCCGGGCCTCCGCTTCGACATTTCCCCAACCTCAGTTACAGGCCCGTCGCGCGTCAACCACAGTCCATTACCGTTACCACTGTAGTCTCGCTATATATTCTTCGCTCATGCCTTCGCTCATTGTACGCTTGCCTCGATAGTGCAATTCTCGCTCGCTCACTCATGTTATGAATGAACTTGCAGAGTGCGCAGAATATCAAATATCGAGAATGAGAATTACAGAATGACGATACAATGAGAAAGGCACGACTAAATAGGGGAAGTCCTAGCTAGGCGGGGAGGTTGGGCGAGGATGGCTCGGTGATGGTTGCGATTGGTGCGGAGGCGACTCGGGGGTGGTTCGGTGTGATGAAATAGGAAGGACAGGTTCGTCGCGTGACCCTCGGGATGGCCTCGCTAACGAGTGCCTCAGTAAGGATTCTGTAAATCCTTACAACTCAATTGCACTCATAACAGCTCATTTTGGAACCCATGTAACAAAGTTACCACAAATTAACAAAACGTTCTCGATCGTACCGCATGCGGACGTACACTCAGGACACGCCCCACACCAATCACTCACCTGCTCCAGTCATGGAGCGCCTTCCTCGGCATACCTGTGCCACCGCCCGCCCATCGCTATCCTTGGGAACATTCCCTTTTCCGTCACGATCGCAGATCGCAGGATCGGGTGGGAGCTGACGCGTCCTCACGTTCCAGGCACCCTCCTCATTCGGGCGCACGACATTCAGCCTCGCGTCATTCGCGCCATCCCGTCGCTCGCGTCATATTCGCTCCTGTTCGTCGCCCTACTTTCCCCTGCCGCCCCTCGCTCCGCGTCGCCCTCACTTCCCCTGGCCCGTCGGCCTCGATTCCCCTTTTTAGCCTCCCCTCGCCGCCCTCATTTCCCCTCCCCGTCGCGCGTACTTCCCCTCCCCATTGCGCGTACTTCCCCTCCCCGTCGCGCGTACTTCCCCTCCCCATTGCGCGTACTTCCCCTCCCCGTCGCGCGTACTTCCCCCACATCCTCTCCCAGGTCCCATCAAAGGAGATGACGAGGTGAGGATAATCCACGCCGGTAGCGCGAATTGATACGAGTCAGAAGCCCTACTGCTTTTCAACTGTTGCGGTAGCACATAACGCGTACAGCAGCGGCCATGGTGCGCAAGGTGGTGCGCGGGCGCGTCGAGCCGCTCGCCGTCGTCGTCTCCCCGCAGCAGGCGGCGGCGGCGGCGGCGCGCATATCGCGGTCGCTGGAGGAGGAGCGCGGCAACGCGGACCGCCTGAGGCGATTCAAGCAGGAGAACGCGGAGCTCTGCACGCTCGTGCGCTCGCTACCCGACAAAACAAGCCATCCAGTCATGGTGCGTGTGTGGCAGGAACCCATGCTCAATGTACGAGCCACGTGTCCCAGGCCCCATGCCCTAGCCATTTGACAAAACGAGGGATTTTCACAGTGGTGCGAATTTCATCCTTGGCGTCAGTCCGCCGTAGCACCTACGATCGTTTGCCCCTGCTCCCGTTGCCTCTCCCCTGCTCCTGTTGCCACTCCCCTGGTCCCGTTGCCACTCCCCTGGTCCCGTTGCCACTCCCCTGGTCCCGTTGCCACTCCCCTGGTCCCGTTGCCACTCCCCTGGTCCCGTTGCCACTCCCCTGGTCCCGTTGCCACTCCCCTGGTCCCGTTGCCACTCCCCTGGTCCCGTTGCCACTCCCCTGGTCCCGTTGCCACTCCCCTGGTCCCGTTGCCACTCCCCTGGTCCCGTTGCCACTCCCCTGGTCCCGTTGCCACTCCCCTGGTCCCGTTGCCACTCCCCTGGTCCCGTTGCCACTCCCCTGGTCCCGTTGCCACTCCCCTGGTCCCGTTGCCACTCCCCTGGTCCCGTTGCCACTCCCCTGGTGGTCCCGTTGCCACTCCCCTGGTCCCGTTGCCACTCCCCTGGTCCCGTTGCCACTCCCCTGATCCCGTTGCCACTCCTTGTCGTGCCGCACTCTCTCAGGTGCCATTCGGCCCTGCCGCATTCTTCCCTGGTCGCCGGGTGCACACACACCACCTCACCCTCCTGCTGGGCCACGGTCTATATGTCAAGCCATCTACCTGCCACACACGGTGTGCTGTGCTCTTCTCCTCCCACCAGGTGCCATTTGGACGGGCCGCCTTCTTCCCTGGTCGCCTCGTACACACCAACGAGTTGACTCTCCTGCTGGGCGACGGGCTGTACGCTGAGAGGTCCGCCTCCCAGGCGCTGGGGGTGCTAAGACGACGTGGCGCGATGATAGAGCGCCAGCTGGAGGGGTGCCAGGCGAAGGTAGAAGACCTACGTGGCGAGCTGCAATTCGCGGAGCAGGCTGGGGTAGATGCAGAGGTGAGTACGGGCCAGGAAGGGGAAGCTTCTGTGAGTGTGCGGAGAGGGTAGGACGGAGGGGTTGGAGAATGGTGATGGGGTGGAGGAAGGGGGGGAGATGGAGGAGGGGGAGGGGTTTAATGAGGGGGATGGTGGGTGGGGTTGGGTAAGCAAGTGGTTAAGTGGGGTTGTGTAAGAAGCAACGAGGCAGCTAGGTGGTGTTATGTGGTCAATGGAAAAAAACACGCTTGGAGGCAAAACTCTTTACAAACATAAAACTGCAAAACGCCTGGGAAAGCTCTTCAGGGCGGACCGGGCAAAGGCTCAAGCATTCACAACCCAGCGTTTTATGCAGAAGCACACGTCACTGAAGAAATATACGCTTTCCTGAGCGCTAGAAAAGCGCGACACGTTGGCGAATGCAAAGGGCCGAATCAAAACTTTGATGAGCAAGCACATGCGAATAGTACGACAAAATGGATGTACGCTTCTAATGCCTGAGGTTTTAAGTTTGAATTGTACCTCTCGCTGACCACAAATCGTACCTCCATTCACGCTGGATGTATCGTAATGACACACCTCATCTCGCCCCATTCTGCACTTTTTGTTGTCACGGCCATTGCACCCCCCAAACGCGTCCCCACTGCTTTCCGTCATACCTTCCAATATCCACCTGTTCTCCTTGTCGCCTTTGCTTCCTCTCTCTTCACACGCTCTTCTCTCTCGCACTGGGAACACAACAGGAGGGGTGTGTGGAGATACACGAGTATGAGGAGGAGGTGGAGGGGGGCGAGGAGGAGGAGGGAGGACAGACTCAGGGAGTGTTGAAAGCAGATGAAGGAGCACGACGAGGAGAGGATAACGTAGGAGGTAGTTCAAAGGGAAGGGCAGCAGCGGGGGTTGTGAGCAACGTGGTTGGAGTGTCTAGAGAAGCGGATGGTGGGAATGGTGGTGGGGAGGAGGAGGAGCGGCGCATTGAAGCTCTGTTTGCCGAGATGGAAGCGGCAGAGGCGGCGGCTGCTGCTGCTGCTGGGGATGATGATGATGAGGAGGAGGAGGAAAGTGAAGAGGAAGGAGAGGAGGAAGACGAGGACGAGGAGGATGGGGATGAGAAAGGTTGGGAGGAGGAGGGAGAGGAAGACGAGGAAGATTGGGAGGAAGAAGAGGAAGAGGAGGATGGGGATGAAGAGAGGGGGGAACACGAGAGAAGGGCAGAAGCACAGAGCGAGCAGGAGCTAGTGGAGGGCATGTTAGCAGTGGGAATAGATGCAGGGGGGGAGCAGCAGGGGCAGGCAGTGGTGGGAATAAGAGGGGCAGCAGGGCAGGGAACCCCCTCACAGAAGCTGGAGGACATGTCAGCAATGAGGATAGGTGCAGTGGGACGGCAGCAGGGGCAGGCGGTGGAGGGAGCTAATGTAGCAGCATATCAGGGAGTTTCCCCCTCACAGGCGAAGCAGAGGGAGGTGGGCCCATCAGCCAGTCAGCTCAAGGTGAGGCGGAGATGAGTTAGCCTGTACCGATGAATGCCTCTTCTGATCCGATAACCTATTTTTTCACTGGCAGCTGATGTCATGTTAGCCCATAATGCAGTAACGGGTCACAGCAAAAAGGTGCACACGTCTCAATCTTCCCTGAACCGTAAATGTCAGGTATTGAAATTGACCAGAGTCCCTGGCAAATAGGAAATGTATTTCGTGTTGAGGTTTTTCGGTTGAATAGTTGGCTGTGTCGCCAGGTGTATGAATGAGGTGCCGTGGGAGGGGAACACGGGGGGGGCATCAGACAGAGTGAGCGAGACAGAGGAGCAGCCCCTGACCTTACCTGTTGCTGAGACAGAGGAGGGGGAGGGAAAGATTTTTGTGAGATGTGGGCCATGCCCTCGTGTGGGCATGCCCTGACCTTACCTGGTGCTGAGAAGTATGTTTGCAAGTCAGCTTGAGGCCAGGTAGAAAAATGCGTGCAGCTCATCCTGTCACATACCTGCTTTGAGGCACGTCAAAACTCAAACTTCTTGAGAAGCATCCACAGCGTTCACTTCACATCCATGTTTCCCGGTTGCTCTGCCAACCCGTTCCATTGGCTTTTCTAAGGCACCCTACTCCTCTTGCCCCTCCTGTTGTGTTGTGTGCGGTGCCCAATGCAACAGGCGTTTTCAGGAGCTGTTGTGGAGCGAACGTCCGACCCCTCTTCCCCTCCTCCACTCCCTGTTGTGCCACCGGTAATACACTCGCCCTCCACTTGCCTCCCCAGCGAATGTTCAGTTATGCCCTGCTACCCTTTCCCCATTTTCTCCCTTTCCCAGAAATCCCTCTTGTCTTTGCGTGCTGCTGCTGCTACTGCCGTCGCCGCCGCCGCTGCTGCTAGAGGGCTCACATTGTTGTTACAAAGCTTACCATTAGATGTTACATGACCATCCTTGCACTGTATGAAGAAGGGTACTGCGACATGGTTTGGTGAACAATCATTGGTCACTTCATTCTCTCAACCTGCTCCATTTTCTCACTCTCATGTTCTCCCCGAGCCCCACATCCCCCCAGGCACCAGCACCAGCAAGGCCTCTGTCACGATTCAAGCAGCGCCGGGCAGGTCAACCGTGACACAACTCGCATTTGAGCCTGTTCTGCTCCTTTCCAGCAACCCCCGCTACTCCTCATCTTCCGTTTCTTTCTCACTACCGTATGTCAGCTTCGTGTTTGCGATCAGATCTGCTTGATTGTATGGTCACACAGTGCAGTGCAGCTTCATCCGTTTCATGCATGAAAGCATGCCATTCCAAAGTTGCCACAATTGCAACATCATTGTTTGCGAAACATGCACCTTCCTTGCAAGCAGAATGATTGGTTCCAGGGCCTCAGATTCGTTTTGAGGTTGGCTGATAGATAAATGTTACTACACAAAAAAGGCTGAAAAAACAGTGCCACTGAAAAAAAAAAAAAGTCGGAGTTCTGGTTCTGGGGGCGTGGCTGAATGGTAGAAGTTTGACGAGAAGAAAAAAAGGTTTTGCTATGGAGGGAAGAGAACAAGTACGGTAATACCCCGGATATAAGCGCACCTGCGCTTATAATAAAACATTGTTTTTTGGGGGGGTGCGCTTATAATTGAGTCAGATTTATAAGCGCATGCACTTGTATAAAGGATAAAATGAAAATCAATTTTAAACACACCATTGTGAAGCTCTCAATAAGGCGAATTCAACCGACCATGCACCAAGTGGGATCGTGCATGGTTTTCAGGCAGAAACCGCAGCGGTTCGGTTTCCCACTGCACAATGATGTTTGGAAACATCGAATGTGACAGCCGTGACGATGATGTTGCGTTGCGGCCCAATCAGAGCCGCATGCGCTGCGTGGCATGTGCATTTGGGCAGAACCATCTCAAAGGTTCGGCAAGATTCCCTGCCAGCGCAGCGTAGATGCTGCCACACAGGCGCCTCTTCGGGAGTAGGCGGGGGTTTCCTGCCTGTCATCGACGAGGAACCCGAGCCGTCACACAGCAGGGGTCACCGTCGTTGCCCATTTCTTCACCCTCTTCTCTGATTTTTTTCATTCAGTTTCTTGTCAACCCCACCTGGCAGGCGAAGCCATGGCGGAATTTAGTGGGACGAGCATCCTCTTCAAGAAAAAGCCACGCCGCACATGGCGACTTACCGAAGACGGGTGGTATACCCGTGAGCCACCCGTGCCACCAGTGCCACCAGATCCCCCTGCACCCCCTGCACCCCCTGCTCCTCCTGCTCCTCCTGCGCCTCCTGCTCCTCCTGCTCCTCCCGCACCTCCCGCTCCTCCAAATCCGCCTGTGTTTGTTACGGCAGGTGCTCACCAACGGCCCGTGCTCCAACTCTATTTACTAGCCACGTTCGACAAATGGTTAGCTGAAGCGGACACACCCAAGGCCCCCGATGCACGCATCGAAGCTCCGGCGCCTGCACCACGGTGGGGACAACCAGAAGCCTGCGCGTGGGATGAGTCGGCTGTGGGCGCCGACGATGATGTGGCCGCCGACAAACATGACAGCAGCGCCGGCGAAGCTGGAGGCGACGGTGAAGCTGGTGGCGACGGTGCAGCGGGCGATGAGGAAGACGTGTTCCCCGACCGTGACACAACTGCCGAGGACGAGGACGGTGTGGAGTCTTGGTGGCGCGACGCACCACGCGCGAAGATGCTGATACCGACGTATCCGCCCCTTAACAAGAAACGCCCCCACCCGTCTACCGAGAATCGAGATGCCCGCCCCCCCTCCCCCAGGCACAAGTAGAGTCAACATAAGCGGCAGTCCTACACCGCCCAGGAGAAGTTGAGGTGGCTCGTGCGGCTCGAGCTTGCGGCTTCGGTGAGCGAAGTGGCGCGGGAGTCAGGCATACACCAAAAATGTCTGACAGAATGGAAAGCCCAAGCGGAGGCGCTCAAGGCTGCACACGGAGCACGGATGCGACTTCACGGGCGCGAGAGGGCGTCTTGGTACCGCCCCATGGAGTTAAAGGTGTACGCGCAACTCCTCAACTGGCAACGCCGCGGAGTTGCGGTTTCGGTCGGCCGGCTGCAAGAGTGGTCCAAAGAAGTGATGAAGGTTCTCTACCCGGACGTCAAGTGGAAAGGCAGTCAGCGGTGGACGGAGCGGTTCCGCAAGCGGTGGAACCTCACCATGCGCATGAAAACAAAGGTGGCGCAGAAAACACTGGAGCGTAAGTGGGCCGTCTACTGCTGATTTTGATTTATCCCGATTATGCTTAGTTTCTTTTTCGCATGTCTCCTGTGCGTGATACTAATTTGGTTGACTATGTGTACTTATCTCGCTGTTCCACAGACGTGGCTGAGCAGTGCAAGGATTTCTAGCAGTACGTACGTGACGCCCGGAATGAATACGACATTGAGAACCGCTACAAAGCTTACCATTAGATGTTACATGACCATCCTTGCACTGTATGAAGAAGGGTACTGCGACATGGTTTGGTGAACAATCATTGGTCACTTCATTCTCTCAACCTGCTCCATTTTCTCACTCTCATGTTCTCCCCAAGCCCCACATCCCCCCAGGCACCAGCACCAGCAAGCCCTCTGTCACGATTCAAGCAGCGCCGGGCAGGTCAACCGTGACACAACTCGCATTTGAGCCTGTTCTGCTCCTTTCCAGCAACCCCCGCTACTCCTCATCTTCCGTTTCTTTCTCACTACCGTATGTCAGCTTCGTGTTTGCGATCAGATCTGCTTGATTGTATGGTCACACAGTGCAGTGCAGCTTCATCCGTTTCATGCATGAAAGCATGCCATTCCAAAGTTGCCACAATTGCAACATCATTGTTTGCGAAACATGCACCTTCCTTGCAAGCAGAATGATTGGTTCCAGGGCCTCAGATTCGTTTTGAGGTTGGCTGATAGATAAATGTTAATATACAAAAAAGGCTGAAAAAACAGTGCCACTGAAAAAAAAAATCGGACTTCTGGTTCTGGGGGCGTGGTTGAATGGTAGAAGTTTGACGAGAAGAAAAAAAGGTTTTTCTATGGAGGGAAGAGAACAAGTACGGTAATACCCCGGATATAAGCGCACCTGCGCTTATAATAAAACATTGTTTTTTGGGGGGGTGCGCTTATAATTGAGTCAGATTTATAAGTGCATGCGCTTGTATAAAGGATAAAATGAAAATCAATTTTAAACACATCGTTGTGAAGCTCTCAATAAGGCGAATTCAACCGACCATGCACCAAGTGGGATCGTGCATGGTTTTCAGGCAGAAACTGCAGCGGTTCGGTTTCCCACTGCACAATGATGTTTGGAAACATCGAATGTGACAGCCGTGACGATGATGTTGCGTTGCGGCCCAATCAGAGCCGCATGTGCTGCGTGGCATGTGCATTTGGGCAGAACCATCTCAAAGGTTCGGCAAGATTCCCTGCCAGCGCAGCGTAGATGCTGCCACGCAGGCGCCTCTACGGGAGTAGGCGGGGGTTTCCTGCCTGTCATCGACGAGGAACCCGAGCCGTCACACAGCAGGGGTCACCGTCGTTGCCCATTTCTTCACCCTCTTCTCTGATTTTTTTCATTCAGTTTCTTGTCAACCCCACCTGGCAGGCGAAGCCATGGCGGAATTTAGTGGGACGAGCATCCTCTTCAAGAAAAAGCCACGCCGCACATGGCGACTTACCGAAGACGGGTGGTATACCCGTGAGCCACCCGTGCCACCAGTGCCACCAGATCCCCCTGCACCCCCTGCACCCCCTGCTCCTCCTGCTCCTCCTGCGCCTCCTGCTCCTCCTGCTCCTCTCGCACCTCCCGCTCCTCCGAATCCGCCTGTGTTTGTTACGGCAGGTGCTCACCAACGGCCCGTGCTCCAACTCTATTTACCAGCCACGTTCGACGAATGGTTAGCTGAAGCGGACACACCCAAGGCCCCCGATGCACGCATCGAAGCTCCGGCGCCTGCACCACGGTGGGGACAACCAGAAGCATGCGCGTGGGATGAGTCGGCTGTGGGCGCCGACGATGATGTGGCCGCCGACAAACATGACAGCGGCGCCGGCGAAGCTGGAGGCGACGGTGAAGCTGGTGGCGACGGTGCAGCGGGCGATGAGGAAGACGTGTTCCCCGACCGTGACACAACTGCCGAGGACGAGGACAGTGTGGAGTCCTGGTGGCGCGACGCACCATGCGCGAAGATGCCGATACCGATGTATCCGCCCCTTAACAAGAAACGCCCCCACCCGTCTACCGAGAATCGAGATGCCCGCCCCCCCTCCCCCAGGCACAAGTAGAGTCAACATAAGCGGCAGTCCTACACCGCCCAGGAGAAGTTGAGGTGGCTCGTGCGGCTCGAGCTTGCGGCTTCGGTGAGCGAAGTGGCGCGGGAGTCAGGCATACACCAAAAATGTCTGATAGAATGGAAAGCCCAAGCGGAGGCGCTCAAGGCTGCACACGGAGCACGGATGTGACTTCACGGGCGCGAGAGGGCGTCTTGGTACCGCCCCATGGAGTTAAAGGTGTACGCGCAACTCCTCGACTGGCAACGCCGCGGAGTTGCGGTTTCGGTCGGCCGGCTACAAGAGTGGTCCAAAGAAGTGATGAAGGTTCTCTACCCGGACGTCAAGTGGAAAGGCAGTCAGCGGTGGACGGAGCGGTTCCGCAAGCGGTGGAACCTCACCATGCGCATGAAAACAAAGGTGGCGCAGAAAACACTGGAGCGTAAGTGGGTCTTCTACTGCTGATTTTGATTTATCCCGATTATGCTTAGTTTCTTTTTCGCATGTCTCCTGTGCGTGATACTAATCTGGTTTACTATGTGTACTTATCTCCCTGTTCCGCAGACGTGGCTGAGAAGTGCAAGGATTTCTGGCAGTACGTACGTGACGCCCGGAATGAATACGACATTGACAACCGCTACATAATCAATGCCGACCAGACACCACAGTGGTTGGAGATGCCGGCGACGACCACTATGGAGCAGACGGGCGTGAGGTCGGTGCCCATCCGCAGCGGTGGGTACCAGAAGGAGAGAGTGACCGTCATGCTTGCGTGCACGGCGACGGGCGAGAAGCTGAAGCCGTGGGTGTTTTTCAAGCGCAAGACACTCCCCAAGGGTGACTTCCCGAACGGTAAGTGATCGTCG